CTCATTGGCCCAGACGAGGCCACATGCCTATCTCTGAACCAATGGACAAGGAGATAAGCTATGCTCTTTGGATTGAACCAATCAGGACTGTCCCTCGGGGCAAAAGATGGGGTCTATCCCTCCCACACCATGTGATTGATATGGGAGAAAGAATTCCCTAAAGGACAAGTGGGTATTTTTGGTGGAGATGGGAGACAAAGGATAGATGCTAGGAAAACAACCAACACATACCAAGGACATCCTAAATGTTTAATAAATGAGTCTTTTTTGTTTACTCTTTCTTGAGTTAATTTTTAACTTTCAACAAAAAATTCCTATCTAAATAGGTACATGTAATCTTCACCTTTTACTTTCATTTATCCCAGTCATTTCTGGGAAGCCCCTGGGATACACTTGCCCAGTTTAAGTAGGCAAAAGGAAAAGAAGCCAAATCTCACTCATCAGGGAGATAGAAGTTGCATCGAACTTGGTCAAGCTCTACAAAAATTTAACAGAAATAGACTTATTGTGACGAATAATAAGATATGAACAAGATCTGAAAGAATAATACTAAGTAAAATAATGAGAATTAATTCACAATATTAAAAATGTGAATCCTACATAATTCATAATATTTCATTAACTTATAATAATCCATTTCAATCAAGATTTCGTTGCCTGACTTGTAGTGAAGGAGTCTTAGCTTCAATCACTGTGATTTTCTTTTTAAAGACTAATTTGTTTTACCAGATTTCTCGTATTTGCATAGTACGCATATAAATATTTGCAGAGAGGAAAACTTTCAAAATCTTACTCAATGAGAAGAGCGAATAAAATTTCAGAACCATCACAAATACTTAATCCATCGATAATGCTGCATAATTTGCAGGATGGGTGTAGCTGCTTTGGAAAAAAATGCCAGAGACAATAGCCACCCACCCTTCTAGAAAATGCTGAATCACCAATGTGCCCCGACGGTAGAGAACAATGTTGTATGAAGAAAACAGATGCTGAACTCTCGAAGTCAAAGAGCAATAAAAACGTTGGACTTTTCCGGTTGAAGGCATTTTAGGAGTGTCTTATCCATGGCACTCCATGGGTAAGTGACTTATCCATCTTTTATGTTTACCCAAAGGAATATGTGATTAAAATCATGTCTAAATACATATACAAAAGTTCTTTCAACCTATTTAATTTCAGAATCCTAATGATAAGAAAACATTGCCTGATATTTATTTGATGGCATTGTTTCCCTTCTTAGTGGTTTGTGAAATGATCACTGTACCTTGACAGCATCCTGGATTCGACAGAAATATGACAGTCTCATAACCTAAAAGCTCCCATGATGCAACCCCACTGCATTATCATTGTGGGTATAGTTCGTTTTTGCTGCCAGTGGCCACTCTCCTATACTCCATACACTATTTTCTTTTCTTCCTCTCATATGCATGCATCACAGCCAAAGTATAGTAAGGCTTCACATTTAGCTCATTCCTTGGTAAGGATACTATCTGTGGTTCTATGTGAAAGAGTCAGTGCTTTTTGCAATTTTACAGTAGCACAAATGCTATTATATTCAAACTTTTCCTGTGGTTGAACACCTGACTTCCTCCATGAATGTAAGATCTGTAAAGCATAGTAACCATATTCAAACACATTACCATTTACTGACAGGCACTGATGATTCCAATGCAAATGGAGGGCAATTCAAACAAACAAATACTTAGTGTTATCCAATGAAGTGCAAACAAGATCCGAATAAATGAGTGGGCACATTTACTTCCTGCTCAGGCATCCGTTCCTTATTGGTCGGTCTTTATGGCTTCAGTGCGTCCATCCGAATGGGATTCATCAGCCAAGTTGCCTTACATCTCCCACTATTTCTAGAAAATTAATGCTAGAATTACTGCTAGAACCATGTGAAAACATGATCGTGCCTCTTGCAAATCTTTCCTCTCGTTCATGGCTGATCATTCCATTACGTCATAATTATCATACAGCTATAGCGTAAATACACAGTTATTCCCATCTCTGTCCAGATGGTCTGTTACACGATAATGAAAGTATGTTTGTACTTACTGGGTTTAATTACCAGATAATCAGGAAGAACATGCAAATTGCTAGGTTGTTGTAACACAGTCCATTGAATCAAGGAAAACCTGTGTATTGCATATAAGTAAACAAGCTCTTACATGGGATTATGCCCTGTAACCTGTGACGACAAGAAGGTTTGAGATTTGTTATAGGTCCATTGTGTGGGTTCGCATTACACTTGTTGAGCTTGGATTAACGTCCAGATTATAAAGAAATGTAATGGGAGAGATGATCATGCTGCCACGCCTGCCATGGGGACAATGGGGAACTGGCCATAGGAGTGACTGAATAAGGCGCCAGCTCTTGGCTCCCAGGTCCTACTCTGTTCCAACCTAGGGCGTTCCAGAGTCACGTGCAAGCATCTATTCTCAGCCCAAACATGTACCTGCCCAAGTAATGGCAGAGAGAGAGTGCAAACTATCAACCAAATAAACCTCTCCCAGGAACAAAACGTCACTCTAGATAGAAGCCAACTTATAGTTCTCTGGTGTGTCCAGTTTTCCACCAGTGCTATAACTAAGTGTTTTTCTCCCTTTATCACTCCAAGTGAAGCAGTCTAGATCAACATCTTCTGATCCCCGTGACCGGACTACTGTTGCACATTCATTTTCCTACTTTCCCCTTCATGACCTCCTCTTGGAAATCCATGTTGTTCTAAAGAAGCCAACTTCATCCCTGCTTCCAGGAGTGAAACCTACAACCTTTTCAGTCAGCATCTTCCCTCAGGGATTGGTTTAGGGTTGGACATATGCCTCAAGCCATTTAAGCCAATCTTAGAACAGAACATTTTCTGGAGACGCCAGAAGCATCCCTCTTAAACCCGAATGCTGAAGTCTGAAGCCTCATGAGCCACTAAAAGCCATCTTGCAACCATAAGGAAGAAACTGGGTCATTAGTGACATCATTGAGCCACAGGATCAAGCTTTACCTGAAACCTATATTGATATTTTCCAATTACATGAGGGGATCAACTCCCTTTATTGTTTATGTCACCTAGCATTGGGGTTTCTGTCAGTATGATGAGAAGCATAATAACTTATAAAATTGCCACGACTTATCTCCCTGGTTTATCACAGAAAATTCCTTATAGATTTTTTGTGCCCTGCCATCCGGACATGAGCAGCCTTCATGTTCTGATACATCATTTCTTCCCCACCCCCTCAACAGTTTTATTGAGGTATAAATGACATAACATTGTATTAATTTTCGGTATACAACATGATGATTTGAAACATGTATATATTGCAAAATGTTACCACAATCAGTTTAGTTAACATTCATCACCTTACATAGTTACAAATTTCTGTGTGCATGATGAGAACTTTTAAGATCTTAGCAACTTTCAAATATACAAGACTACATTGTTAACTTTAGTTACCAGGCTGTACGTTACATTCCCAGAACTTATTTAGCTTATAATTGGAAGTTTGTACCTTTTGATAACCTTCACCCATTTCACCCACCTCACCTCTGGCAACCACCAATCTGCTCTCTGTTTCTATGAGTTCAGTTTTTTTACACATATGTGAAATCACACAGTATTTGTCTTTCTCGATCTGACTTATTTTACTTAGCATAATACCTTCAAGGTCAACCCATGTAGTCACAAATGGGAGAAATTCCTTCTTTTTAATTGCTGAATAATATGCCATGGTATGTGTGTGTGTATATATACATATATATACGTATCATCTTCTTTATCCATTCATGTGTCAGCGGACACTTAGGTTGTTTCCATATCTTGACTATTGTAAATAATGCTGCAATCAACTTGGAGGTGCAGATATCTTTTTGAGATAGTGATTTCATTTGCTTTTGATATATGCCCAAAAGTGGAATTGCTGGATCATATGGTAGCTCTCTTTCTAATTTTTTGAGAAACCTCCATACTATTTTCCACAGTGGCTGCACCAATTTATGTTCCCAGCAACAGTGCATGCGGGTTCCCTTTTCTCCACATCCTCTCCAGCACTTGTTATTTCTTGTCTTTTTGATGACAGTCATTCTAACAGGGGTAGGGTGATATCTCATTGTGGTTTTGATTTGTGATGTTGATGATTACTTGATGATTGATGGTGTTGAGCACCTTTTAATGTATCTGTTGGCCATTTGAATGTCTCCTTAGGAAAAATATCTATTCAGTTTCTGCCCATTTTTTAATCAGATTATTTGGTTTTGTCTGTGTGTGTTATTGAGTTGTATGAGCTCTTTATATACTTTGGATATTAACTCCTTAACAGATGTATGACTTACAAATATTTTCTCCCATTCCATAGGTGACCTAATACATCATTTCTAAAGCTTACACATTTATTGCTTTTCTTACTGGCAGAGATGGCATTCCAACATCTACTGATGGGAAAGGCAGCCCTAGCCCTTGGAAATGAGAAGCAGAGAAAGCATTCTTCACCATGAGTGGGGGCTCAGGGGAGACACGGTCTCCAAAGTTCTGCTCTGCTCCCTGTAGAGAAGTCTGGTAGGAGGACCCTGAGGCAAGCCAGGTGGACTGTTCCTTGAGGTTACTCAAGGTTTACAGGCCGGGATGGAGAAGATCCAAGGACGCTGCTAAGAAGACAACTGACTTAAACCTAGATGGCAAAGGAAAGGCATATGGCAGAAGGAGTGGGGAAGGGTCTTGGAACAAAGAGACAGAACCAGTGTGTGGAGAGGTCCCATACCCCCAGATGAAGAACATGCACTGGGTCAGCCTGAACAAGGGGCCTCTTATCTGTCTCAGAGTCAAGGCTTGGAGCAGCCATATCAGGCTGGACATCAACTCATCCCACAAATGCTCACTGCATGTCAAGGTGTAGAGGGCCAGCAACCATCACAGACATCGAGTGACACACATGTGCACCCCACATGGCCCTTGCCCTCATCCTTCTTGTGACTGTCAAGTGAAGCAGACAGTTAAACAAGCAATTGCAATGAAACATGGAAGTTGCCAGTCTAGAAAAGGTATGAGGTGTGGTGGGAGGATACAAGGGAAGAAACCAACCAAACTCAAGTTCAGGGACAACTTCCTACAGGAAACGAAGCCTGAGGGATGAGAAGCTTCAGTCCATGGTCGAGCAGGAGGGGAAATGCTTTGAGCAGAGGTCAAGAACATTTGTCAGGAGGCAGGAGGGGGTACACAGGTTTCTAGGAACAGAAAGTGGCCTGGCGAAGTTGGAGAGGAGCAGCAGGGCGAGCATGATGGGCAGTATAGATGCAGAGGCTAGCAGGGGCCACATCTCAGGACCACATCTCACGGCCACATCAGCCAGGCAGGAAGTCTACATTTTAGCTCAAGGGCAGTTTTTCACAGACAGAATGACATGATCAGATTTGCCTTTTAATGGGCCATTGCTCACATTTTATTCCAAATACATCTCTAAACTACTTTTCAAAGGTCTTTCTAGAGAGGGCATAAAGGGCAGGGGGACAATGTCAATAAAACCCAGAACAGATTTTCTTCTAAAACCCCTGTGCAGAAGTGAAGAGCAAACTGTGGGCTTCAGAGGCACTTGCGTCAGGAACCCCCTTTTCCACAGCTTTTTTATGTTCAAGATGCCCTTGGAATACTTTCAATAAATCTTTTAAACTCTGTTTTTCTTTGAAGTAGGAAGCCTTGTCTTTAGCATGTGATCGGGTGGCACAACCAGCATTTTCCAGACTCATGATGAGCTCCCAATCCCACCAAATGCCCTGCTCCACCTTGACCGAGATGCACCCATAAACTCTTTTTCTGATACTCTAAAGCTTAAGAGGGACATTAACCCAGGATGCTCAGATTCAACAAAGAAAAATGTGTCTTGAGACTGATGACAAAATTATGCCCTCAGCTGGGCTCTTATGGACCAAGACGGATGACAAAGAAAGGTGAGAAATGAGTTTTTATTGCCATGAGTTGCCCTCCCTGACATTTCTCCTATTTTCTTTTTTTATGTGACTAATCGTCATCATCAGAGGAAATTATTAATAAGACTCATGATCAGTATTGACAGTCGTGACTGCCGCTCACTGTGTTTACAACGCACCAGGTCCAGAGCTAAGTACCTGAAATAAGCTATCTCATTTAATCCCCACAATAAGCTTGCGAGACGGGTATTATTATTCTTATTTTACAGATGAGAAAACTGAGGCCCAGAGAAGTGAACAGCAGCTAGTACTGGCCATTTGACTCTAATGTCCACAGCATGCTTGACTCAGGAGAAATCAATTTCTTACGAACGATTAGGAATTTGGTCCCACATCCCCCCGGTCCATTAGGTTCTGTGCTGCCCAACGCAGGGTAGAGATCTGTCTGCTTCCCCAAGCATTTCTGCCTGATGAACTCCTTGGTCAGAGCCACGGTACTGAGCCAAGAGAGGCCCAATCACCTGGGCCAAGTTTTCATTAAAATGTGTGCATTGGGGGTTGCAGGCGGGAGCTTAATGATTATTTTCAGTCCAGGTTCCTGCTTATTTGGTTTGGGTTTTGCACGATTAATTAGGAGCCTAAATTAATGAGAAGGGAAACACGTGTCCAGCTGGTCCTCCCAGATGTTCCTGGAAACAGACTCTCCAATTTGCACAGCATGACAGTGTAAACATGACGTGGGGAAGTTGCTCCGAGCTGGTTCCATACCCAACACTCCTGGCTGTGAGGAACGGGGCCCTGCCTTGGAGTCTGTGCTTTCCCAGGTCTGAAATAACGTCTCCAATGTGCTTGCTGATCTGATTCTCTTTGGTTCCACAATAGGGCAACCATGGTTATAATTCCTCACCTGAATCTCTGGAAAGAAGCAAATTGAAATGCAGAGCAAGAGCTGGAAATAGAAGGAGATGAAGAGAGAAAAGAGCTATCTCTAATAAAGATGATGAAGAGGAAAAGTTCTCCAAATCTCAGTGGCGAGGTGCATTCATGGACACATACCAATAGTCCAGTGGTCCAGACTTCTTTCTCATCTTATCCCAGTGTTTCTTTTGTCTTTATGATGAGAGCAGGCTGATTCATCTGTCTCAGTTACAGCCTGTTTGGAGCCGTGGGTGAATAAAAATAAATCAGGATCCACCAGGATGGCTCTCTATATGAAAGTCATATGACATCAGGGACCCTCCATCATGGGGACCCTCCCCTTCTGTGGCCTCCACAACAGGAAACATGGAAAAACGTACCAATATTGAAGTGGACAATGTCTAGGAAGTCCAAAGAAGGTCAGGGAGTTTTACAATGTCTCTCTCTTAATGTGTTGGCCATCTCCTCTCTTCCAGTGCTGGGAACTGGAGTCGTGCAGAGGACAAGGTAAGCGTGATCTCCATCCTCCAGGAGTTTATGGGCATCTAGTGGTTCTCACTTTACTAATCACAGACATGACCAAGGATATTGACACAGTCAAGAAGCCTCCTTGGATATATACATGCGATGAATATTATTCAGATTTAAAAAGTCATTTGAAGGCTTCCCTGGTGGCGCAGTGGTTGAGAGTCCGCCTGCCGATGCAGGGGACGTGGGTTCGTGCCCCGGTCCGGGAAGATCCCACATGCCGCGGAGCGGCTGGGCCCGTGAGCCATGGCCGCTGAGCCTGTGCGTCTGGAGCCTGTGCTCCAGAAGCCCGAGTACCGCAAAAAAAAAAAAAAAAAAAAAAGTCGTTTGAGAAATGCAAATTAAAATCACAAGGACATGCCACTACATACCTAGTAGAATGATTTGCCTAAAAAGTAAATTCCTTTACTTAAAAGGAAGGAAACTGACACATGCTACAACACAGATGGACCTTGAAGACTTTATGCTAAGTGAAATAAGCCAGATACAAAAGGACAAATGTTGCATGATTCCACTTGTATGAGGTACCCAGAGTAGTCACATTCAGAGAACAGAATAGTGGCTCTCAGGGGGACAGGGAGTTAGCATCTAACAGGCACAGAGTTTTGACATGCGATGATGGACCGTTCTGGAGATGAAAAGAGGTGATAGTTGCACAACGCTGTGGATGTACTTAATGCCACTGAACTGTACACTTAAAAATGGCTAAATTTTGTGTGTATTTTGCCACAGTTAAAAAAAAAAAGATCTCTTGGGTCTCTGTGGACACAAGTTTCCTGGATGAGTGGGCAAGTTGACATCACTCGATAAACAATCTCCCTATCCTACACTCCCGCTGCAAGCCCCTTATGAGAATTGGACCATCATTGGTCTTCACAGCATTTATTTGTGACGTGTTCCCAACACCTCTCTAGGCACTGGGGAAACGGAGGTAACAGAGACAGAGAAGGTTCCTGCCCTCAGAGGCTTATATTCTAGTGGAGTTTGGGCAATAAGCAAGCAAATTGCAAACACCATCCCCAGCAGGCTCGGTCCTGGCCCAGTTTTATTTTAATCCTTAGCACTTATGACAGTCTAACATAATATATATATTACTTATTTATGCTGTGTGCCTGTATCTCTCCACTAGAACATAAGTGCTATTTTTATTGATTTCATTGATATAAACCTGAGCCTAGATAGAATAGGATGTGGCAACGAGTAATCATTAATAAATGTATAAAATGAATAAAAGTCAACAAAAAATTAAAAGGATAATTGTTGATTGTGAAAAATACTTTAAAGGAAAGAAACTGGGTTTTGTTATGAAGTGTAACTTATGGAGAAAAAAAAGATTAAATAACTTGGGGTGTAAGATTTTAGATTAGGTGATCAAGGAAGCATTTTTTTTGTTTTGTTTTGTTTTTTAAATAATACGGCATTTGAACTGGCATCTGTAGGGCAAGAGGGAGCTCTCCATGGAGCCTTCTGGAGGACGAGTATTCCAGGCAGGAGAATGCAAAGGCCCAGTGGCGGGAAAACTCTTCATGTGTTCCTATGGCATTAAGTATTAAGTACATTCACATTGTTGTGAAACTATCACCACTATCCATCTCCAGAACGTTTTCATCATCTCACACTGAAACTCTGTACCCATTAAACAATAACTCCCCATTCCCATCACTTCCTGCAGCCCCTGGTAACCACCATCCTAATTTCTGCCTCTATGAATTTGGCTATGCTATGTACTTGTGACAAATGTCATCATATGGTATTTGTCCTTTCATGGCTTATTTCACTTAGCATAATATCTTCAAGATTCACGATGTTGTAGCATGTATCAGAATTTCATCCCTTTGAATGTATATACCACATTTTGTTTATCCATTCATTGCCAGTGGATACTTGTGTTGCTTACCCTTTGGACTACTGTGAATCATGTTGCTATAAACATGGGTGTACAAATATCTCTTTGAGACTCTGCTTTCAATTCTTCTAGGTACATACCCAGAAGTGAAATTGCTAGATCATCTAGTAATTCTATGTTTAATTTTTTGAGGAACTGTCTTAATTTTTTCCACAGTGACTGGGCCATTTTACACTCCCACTGGCAATGCACAAGGGTTTTAACTCCTCTACATACACACTCACACTTGGTACGTTCTGTTTTTTCAAAATAGCCGTTTTACTGGGTCTGGAGTGGGATCCATTGTGGTTTTGATTCACATTTCCCTGATGATTAATGACGATGAGCATCTTTTCATGTGCTTATTGATCATTAGTATAACTTCTTTGGAGAAATACCTATTCAAGTCCTTTGCCTATTTGTTAACTGGGCTTTCATTTTTTGTTGTTGACTAGTAGGAGTTCTTTATGTATTCTGGATATTAATCCCTTATCAGATATATGGTTTGAAAATATTTTCTCTGGTTCTCTGAAAATATTGCCTTTTCATTCTGTTGATAGTGTCCTTTGATGCACAAAAGTTTTAAATATTGATGAAGACCAATTTATCTAACTTTCCTTTTATTGCCTATGCTTTTGGTTTCATATCCAAGAAATCATTGCCAAATCCAACGTCCTTAAGCTTTTCCCCTACTTTTTGTTCTGAGAGTTTTATACTTTTAGTCCTTACATTGAGGTCTTCCATCCACTTTTAATTAATTTTTGTATATGGTATAAGGAAGAAGTACAACTTCATTCTTTTGCATGTGGATATCCAGTTTTCCCATCGCCATTTGTTGAAAGATTATCTTTGTCCCATTAAATGGTTTTGGCACCCTTGTGAAAAATCATCTGACCATACATCTCTCTTCTATTCCATTGGTCTATATGTTTGTTCTTCTGCCAGTACCACAGTTTTGATTTCTGTAGCTTTGTAGTAAGTTTTGAAATCAGAAAGTGTGATACCTCCAGTTTCGTTCTTCTTTTTCAAGCTGGTTTGGATGCTCAGAATCCCTTGAGATTCCATATGGATTTTAGGATGGTGCTTTTTATTTCTGCACAAAGATAGCTGGGATTTTGATAGCAATTGCATTAAATCTATAGATTGTTTTGGATAGTATTGGCATCTTAGCAATATTAAGCCTCCCAATCCATGAACACATAGATTTTAATTTATTTACGCCCTCTTTAATTTCTTTCAGCCATGTTTTATAGTTTTTAGCGTACAAGGCTTCTATCTCCTTGGTTAAGTTTATTTAAGTATCTTATTCTTTTTAATGATATTGTAAATCAATTTTTTTCTTAATTTTCTTTTCAGATTTTTCACTGTTAGTGTATAGAAATGCTAATGATTTTGTCTGTTGATATTGTATCCTATAACTTCGTTCAATTCATTTATTTGGTCTAACAGGTTTTGGTTTGGGGAATCTTTCTGGTTTTCCAAGATCAGAGTATCTGTGAACAGAGATAATTTTACTTCTTCCTTTCCAATCTGAAAGTCTTTTCTTTCTTTTTCTTGCTAGAACTTCCAATACTATGTTGAATAAAAGAGATGATAGTGAGCATTCTTGTCTTATGCCTCATGTTAGGTGAAAAGCATTCAGCTTTTCACCATTGAGTATAATGTTAACTGTGAGTTTGTCATATCAGGCTTTTATTATGTTTACCGTTTTGTGGAGGTTTTTTACACATGGATATTGAATTCTGTCAAAAGTTTTTCTGAATCTATTGAGATTATTATATAATTTTTATCCTTCATTTTGTTAAAGTGGTGTATCACATTGATCAATTTATGGATGTTAAACCATCCTTACATACCCAGAATAAATCCCCCTTGATCATGTGTCTGAGCGTTTTAATACATTGATGAATTTGGTTTGCTAATATTTTCTCAAGGATTTCTGCATCTATTTTCGTCAGGGATATTGGCCTGTAATTTTCCTTTCTGTGTGGTGTCTTTGTCTAGTTTTAGTATCAGGGTTATGCTAGCCTTGTAAAATGAGTTTCAAAGTATTTATTTTTCCTCAGTTTTTTGGAATAATTTGAGAAGGATGCATTAATTCTTCTTTAAATGTTTGATAGAATTCACTTGTGGAGACATCTGGCCCTGGGCATTTGTTTTTTGGAAATTTTTAAATTACTGATTCAATTTCATTACTAGTAATCAGTCTATTGAAATGTTTCTATTTCTTCATGATTCAGTCTTGGAAGACTGTATGTTTCTGGAAATTTATCCTTTCCTTCTACATTGTCCAATTTGTTTGTTGGTTGGTATATAGTTGTTCATAGTAGTCTCTTAGGATCTTTGTATTGTTGTGGTATCAGTTGTAACTTCCCCTTTTCCATTTCTGATTTTATTTATTTGGGTCTTCTCTCTTTTTTTCCTGATGAGTCTGTCTAAAGGTTTATCAATTTTTCTTGTCTTTTCAAAGAATCACCTGTTAGTTTCACTGATCTTTTCTATTTCATTTATTTCCACTTTGGTCTTTAATATTTTCCTCCTACTACTAACTTTGGACTTTGTTCTTTTTCTAGTTCCTTTAGGTGTGAAGTTAGATGTCTTATTTGAAATTTTTCTTGTTTCTTGAGGTAGGCCTATACAGTTATGAACTTCCCTCTTAGAACTGCTTTTGCTGCATCCCATAGATTTTGGAAAGTTGTGTTTCTGTTTTCATTTGTCTCAAGATATTTTTTTATT